CAAGGCTTGGATTATTTCGTCGTATGCTCTTCTCAATTTGATGGTTTGTGCCGAGAAGTCTGCTGTAATTCTGATGGGTTTTCCCTTGTAAATGATTTGTTTCTTGTTTCTGACAGCTTTTAATATTCTGTTCTTATTTTGGATTTCTGGAATCTTGATTATTATATGCCTGGGTGTAGTTCTGTTTTGATTGTAGGTGGTTGGAGTTCTGTATGCTTCATTCATCTGAGCATCTTTTCCTTTTCCTATGTTTGGGAAGTTTTCCTTAATATTTCTGTGAATAGCCTTTGCAGTTCCTTTGTTTGGACCCCTGCTTCTTCATTTACATTCTTTGTTCTTAAATTATAGATCCTCTTGTCATCTTCTAGCTTTTGTGTTGTTATTGCTTATTTCCTTGTCATTTTTAAGAAGTCTTTCCTTTCATGTTCTCGCATTACAAACCTGTCCTCCAGTTCAGATAATCTAACCTTAGTTTCTTTCAAGGTATTATTTCAGCTTTCAATAAAGTTTTTAGTTTCCTGGTAATCTCTTTGAATCTGCTTCATGTATTCTATGTTTTCTCTTATTTCTTCATCAAACAATTCTCCCCTTTTTTTGTTCTTCCATTCTACCATCTGTTTTTTCTTGGGAGGCATTTAGCATTTCTTTAATTATTCTATTTATATCTTGCTTTACTTGGTTAAACTTGTATTTATATCTTGCTTTACTTGGTTGAACTCATATATGAGTCCCTGAAGATATCACTTTATGTCTATTGGTGCCATGCCTGATATTGCAAGTTTTCTGTCCTCATTCTTCTTTGCATTTACCTTTCCTGGATTAGTGTTCTCAGGATTGGGGACTGAGGACCCTTTCTTGTTGTGTCCTCTTCTCATATTTTTTTGTTCCTTCCATACAGGCATATATATGAGGCCCAGTTTCTTTCTTTGTCAGTTTCAGTTTGTCTAAAGCATGCTGAGTAGCTGGTCCTATCCACTGCAGTGTACTAGGAGGTATACACCTGGGAAGCCTATATTGGGTCCACCCCTCCAGGTCAACCCACTGAAGGCTTTCTGCATTAGGGTGCACTGTCAGGCATAGGGACTTGGTTAGGGCTAGCCTATTGGGCCTCAGTCCATGGCATCACCCAGGTCAAACACTCCCCACCAATCTCATTTGAGAGGGGAATATGTGACTGAAGTCACTGCAGTGCCCTGTTCTGGCCAGTCTGCCCGTTCCCCGAATGTCCTCTATTGGAACCTCTTTGTCTATGAAGGATCTTTATTCCTCTTACTCACCACAGGTCAATGCAGGGTTCCTTGCCAGCTCTGTTCTCAGTTCGGTTTGTCGATTCCTGCTCTCAGAGTGTTCATGTCTCCAGTGCGTTGAAACTAGCAGGCTATCCCAGCCGTGCCAATTCAGGCACGGCAGTGGCAGCACGTTCAATCTGCGAATTCAAGCAGCGGCACCAAGATTTTAGCTGCTCCAATCATAGCACTGGGATTGCATTTCCAATTGGTTTCTCTCAGCTTAGTTTATTCCTGGGTCGGCAGGGTATATATCCCTCTGCTTGGTACTCCCCATGCTGCACCATTCCTGGAATCTAAGCTGGCTATCTCAGAGAGCCACTGTAGCTGCTGTTATCTATCCACCATCTTTTCAGTCAGCTCCTGTATAGGAATTATTATAAAATGTAAATCAATATTAATTTTTAATACAATGAATGAAACTATGAAAACATTACATGTCTATCCACTGTATGATACAAAGTATTATTTCAACAAGTTTTCATTTGTGTATGTAGAAGTATATACTCTTTAAAATAAAGGAACTATAAAGATTTTGTGTTCTTGAAGACTGCCAAGATTTCTAGACAGTTCACCTGAGAAAAAAAATCACATCATTTTGGGTGATTCACTGATAGAATAAATAGGTAGGAAAATGTAAACTATAAAAATGACAGATGTGAGAAACAGACTGGAATGGCCATGGGACCTGGCAGGGGAACTGAGGGAGGCTACTATAGTAGCCAGTAACTGGCTGATTGCAGCCTTGGGTTATCTACAGGTGAGCTCTGACTCCAGAAGCTGTAGCCTCTTGGTACCTGCTATACTATTTTGGTAGAAACCAGGCCAGAAAACCGGACAGAATGCAAATTGAAAGTTTGGCCAATTATATACATATTTCAAGAGGCTAAAGTAGTTGGTCCAAGCCATTATCAGCCTGCAGTACCCCTAAAGTGGTGCTTTTCTCTCTTATTTGAAAAGTCTCACATGTGAAAAGCAGTTACAAGAGGAATAGAGAAACATGTAGGAGTATTCAGTTATAAGAAGAAATGCTGCTGCCTGCTTGGACTTCCTCTGTGTGTGTGTGTGTGTGTGTGTGTGTGTGTGTGTGTGTGTGTGCATATCTATGTGTACACGGATGTGTGTGCGGCTGTTCATAACAAGTTGTACAATAAAAAGGAAAAATCTCTCACTTTGTAAAAGGAGAATAAGTCATCCTGATTACTACACTACAGCTGAACAAATTAAAACTCTCCAGTTGACAGGTCCGCTATAACCTGCCTTCTCTTCCTTCTCCATTTGTCTCTTTTACTTCTCCATAACAACTTGTCCCGTCCCTCTCCTCATCTTATTTATGTTTTCCTCTATTTCTTTGTTCTGGAGATTTATTCTTATTTTTAAAATTCTCTCTGACTGTTCTTGTCCTGTTTATGTTCTCCAATTTTTCTGCCCTGAGTCAAGTCCTGGGTTGGCTCAGTGGTTTGTTTGCTTTCATCAGTGAGTCTCACTCAAATTGCTCAGGGCCCACACTCATGCCTTTTTGCTGTAGATGCCACTACCTAACATTTTATTGGACAGATCTAGTTCATGTGGGGGAAACTACTTCAAATTATTTCATTTTTACAGTGTATTTGCTTAACTCATTCTCCCTACTAGGTCCACTGACTAGTGGCTTAATTCCCTCTGCCGATTCATTGCTCAGTAGTTAGCTGCTGTGTTAGAATTCTGAAGTTGAAAAGCGCCACAGAGCAGAAAGAACAGGACTAATAATCCCTGGGCTGGGATTTAGGGCTGGTGCAGCCCATTTGAAGCATGTGATACTTGATAAGGTACATACTCTAGCTCATCTCCACTGTGCTTCTTACCCTAAAAATGAAAAGCAGTTTCCAGGCAGAACATACTTGTAATCCCAGCAGTCTGGGGAGGCTGAAGCAGGAGGATTCCGAGTTCAAGCCCAGTGTAGACACTCAGCAAGATCCTGTCTCAAAATAAAAGGAATAGAAAAAGGGCTGGGGTTGTAGCACAGAGCAAAGGCCCTCTCCTCTAATACATTTTATCCCACTCAAGAATTCTGCAAAATTATTAAACACTTCTCCTTTGCATTTTCAGACAATGACAACATTATTTTAAGTGTGTGGGGGGAGCACAAGGGTGAGGTGATATATTTAAAAAGGATTTCTGTGGTCAAAGTGTGGAGAATGGGCGAATGGACTGAAGAGGGGATACAGCTAGGAGAAGCTGTAAGAGTCTAGGTAGCAGACACTGCTTTCAGAAGCAGGATGGAGAGAAGTAGGCAGATGCAGAACAGCGGGAATAAATCACGAGTCTCGGATGCAGGAGAGCGATGCATTATGGACGCCTCCTGGCTTCCACTTCTGGCCTGTGAGCAGTGGACAATTTCCCAACTGTTCCTGCAACTGACCCTCAAGCCCTGATATCCAGGGCTCTGTTCTTGGCTCTTTTCCCCTTGAATTTTTTTCCCTTTGGTTTTAATTCAATTTTCAGTATTAAAAATCTCAATTCTGCCAGAATTCACTCCAGAGATCATAAATCAATGGTCCATTTGACAGGTAAATTTGCTTTATCTTGTTGGATTTTTAAAAATACAAGTTACAAAACATTTAAAAATTTTCACTAAAAAACTCTGTGTTTATAACTCCATAAGCAATCGGAAGCCCCATTAACCATGGCCCCATTTTCCTTCTTGCTGGCAGCAGGTTCAGAATGGCAAGCTGAGGAGTGAGAGCTGGCCTGTTAGACTGAACAAGTGCTGTCCACCTTGCCATAGTCTCTGGCATCTAAGCACCTGCTCACCTGTCAGTGAGGTTTTGTTTGCCCGGGGCCGGTGTTTCCCTTTGAACCTCACGTTTATCCCTGTCACCTCAGGCTGTAAAATACTGTGGGGAAAGCAGGTGCCATAGCCAGAATCACACCACTAAAGACGGGAAACAGGCCAAAGTCCCAGTCTTTCCATTCCCTATACAGAGTCATGCTATTCCTGAATTTTAATACCTAGCTGCTGGCAGTTGGTGCTATAGTAATTTTAGGCCAAGATGTTTGGTCAGAAATTAATGCATAAGGTGTGTTGGGAAATATAGGGAATATTTAAAATTTTTAGAACTTTGTTACAGTGGAAGAACCATTGCTATTATGCCCTTAAAATACTCCCCCTGGCTATACAAATGTTTATTCCATTGTTTTGCCCCTTTTGGAAGCTGCTCTGGAAGTCTTCTTTTTTGAGTGTCTTCTTTTTTGAGTTGCACTGATGTGGCTCCCTGGATGTCCTGAATTCATTCAAAATATTTACCTCTCATGTTCATTTTGACTGTAAGGAAAAGCCCAGAGTCACATGATGCCAGATCTGGTGAATGAGGAGGATGAGCACACACCGTATGGTTTTACAGCCCTGTATTTCCCTTGGATGGTACCGGCCAGCAGCGTTCATCGCATTTGTAAAAATCGAATCTCATGAAGACTCATGAAAAAGTATTTCAGGACTGCTTTAGAAAGTGGCAAAAATAATGGGATGAATGTCTTAGAAATATAGGAGAGTATTTTGTTGTAGATAAATAGTATTTTGTTGTGTCTTTTGCTGTTTATATTCTAAAAAATTTAAACATGCACCATGTATTTTGATCACCCCTAGAATTTTTTACATATGTTTTAAATTATATGAAAGATCTGAATATTGCTATGTTACAGTTTGCTCATCTCACTATTCTAATTTTCTTCCAGAACTCCTAGAACGATCTCTAGCCCTTTTAAATAAAAGTCAACAACTCACTGACTTCATAGAACAGTTCAAGTGTGATGGGCCTTACGTGAATTCTGAGCTGGTTCAGGGAGCTCGGAGCAGTTGTCTGAAGATTGACAGCCTCCTTGAACTTCTGCAAGACCGGAGAAGGCAGCTGGACAAGCACCTGCAGCAGCAGCGGCAAGAATTGGCTCATGTTCTACACATGTGTCTGTGGAACCAACAAGAAGACCAGGTGACCCCAGTGGGCATGGGCTGGTACATCACCCTCTGCTACCTGCTCATTATATGGGTCAGCTATGCCCTGATCCCTATGGGACAAGGTCTTGTTTGGCATGATCAGATCCTTTCATTTTTGGTCCAAAAGTCTTTCCTTAAAATGCCATGTTGTTTCCCCAAGTGAGAACAAATATAAACTCAAATATTTCTTATTTGCTTTCAGTATAATATTGATTTTCTGAATGGGAGAACGTCTCTGAGAGGTTTTGAAAATAGCTGGGTTTTATTGTTGGATTATCCATTTCACTTTCTCACAGATCACTACTTTGAGGCACAATTGTTTGCAATTCTGAAATGCTACTTGTAGTTTTCTGGAAAGTTGGAGGCACCAGGGCACTGAATTGTGTTAGATTGCTGCAAATATCATTTTAAATTTCAGTGATCTCAGAGCAGAGGCAGTGTTTTTAGAAGACTGCTTTGTTGCCAAGGAGGAAATATGATATTGGTGGATGTCTGGACATTCAGGCATTAGAAAGCTTTCAGGATTGGCGTGACTGCAGGAAGGTTGCGACACATGAACTGACTGAAGACTCAGCTCTGATAAGTCATCACTGTGCTTGCCCAGTCCTTCCCTTCAAGCATCTGAGGGCCACTGTGGACAGAATTCTTTTTGCAAACCCCCATCTCAAATAGGTGACATATTTACTAGAACATTTCCATTGCCCAAATCTGAATAGATTAATCTTTAGATAGAAATGATATGGAGAGAGCTCTTTTGTTCTGGATGCCCAGGAAAGAGATCTTTTCATATTTTAGATTTCTCTGATACACACTGGAGGGACAGACATACGGCTGGGAACAAAGATAAGGTGAAACGAAGCTTTTTCTTGTTTCAAGATACCAAAAATGGACTTAAATGATTAATGTTTGAGCTGGCAATGATTAAATATATTCTGTATGCCAGGTCATATTATAAGTGTGGGAGGGTGCACTAGGCACATGGCAAAGTCTTTTTCTTCTATGAATTTTTTATGTGTTTCTTAACCTTGCCATTGCTGACATTTGCTGCTAGGTGATTCCCGATTGTGGGAAGCTGTTCTGCACCAACTATCTGCTAGTATAACATCCCTCATGTGGGGCATAAAAGTGTCTCCAGACATTGTCCAGTGTCCCCTGGGAAGCAAAATTAACTTCAATCAAGAATCGCTGCTATAATGTGATGACAAAGCTATAAAATAAACATGAACGGTGATACGTGCTATTAGAAGTCAAATAGGACAGTGAATTCTGACGTGTATTGCTCTCCTATTAATCAGCTAAGCTGCTCTCAGGGTTGGTACAGAGCAGAGAGCCAAATGCAGACACCTCCAGGCATGTGCTCATTTGCTTATGTTTCCTTAGCTCCTCTCTGAGTCAGCAGGCACTTTCTAAGCTACCTCTGCCTTCCTCACCTTTGCCTTGACTGTGGAGGCCCTAACTTGCCTCTGGGTGGCTTCACCTGCCAACTCTTCTTCCTCACCGTTTGGTCCCTGTGCTCACCCACCTGTATGTGCTCATTACCTGAAGTACTATCATCCAACACAATCAATTACAGATACTGTGACAGAACAAAGGGTCGTATGCCCAGGGCAAGAATCAACATAAAATACTTTGTCAGACAACTGTTGGTGAAGTTCTTTACATAATAAGTGTCTTTCACATAGTAAGTGGGCCTGATATACCTCACTCCTTTCTCTCTGTCTCTTTCTGTCCCTTCCTGCCCTTCATTCTGATCTGTCATGTTCCCAGAGCTTCTGTCCCCTTATAGAAACTCACTTGTCTCTTTTTGTTCTTGCATTCACAAGCCCAAACCTCTGCCTCTGTTGCTTTCATGAATACACTAACACTCCTGTTGTGTTATCAAACAGAGGAGATTATCTCCTTTAATCCTCAACCTCATGTATTCACACTAACACAGAGACCTTTTCTCACCAAAGAAAAGGCTCATCCAACAGGCTTCCCAAACACAGAAAAGATTTGCCAACCATGAGAAAGAATGTAGTCAGTTTTACTTATTTTTAAGATAGCGTTTTGCCTCCCATGACTGTGGCCATAACATCCACTCGAATCCACCACAGTTAAAAAGAAAAGAAAAACACATGACTCTTCAGGAGAGTCAAGAGAAATCTAGACATTTTGTCAAGTCTGGAAACCTGAAAATGTTTGTTAATAAGTAAAGTAAGCTATTATAAGACAGTTGATCGGTTCTCTAACTTAAAAGAACTCATTTTTCTTCTTCTTTTTTAATAGTAGGTTATGTTTTAAAAATTGACTTCACCTTTTAGAACAGTTGTAAATGAAATAAAAAAGTCACACAGTGCAATATATATACTGGCTTCCTCGAAATCTGCTTCCTTTTTAAACCTTGAAACTCCTCTCTCACCCAGCACAGAGCCTTTCCCCCCAGGGCTTAGCATTAATGATGTTATACATTTCAACTCTTTTCTTAACTTTCCTTGAACTAAAATTAATTATAACAATAAAAATTAATACTATTTTTAATATGAGCTATCAACACATAAGCTAGTAATTTCCTCCTATGTACTCTCTAGGCCCTTAGAGACCCATGTTACATTTTCGCCTGCTAACAGCAGTGTGAGCCCTGGAGTAATTAATAATAATAATTGTCCTTTTGTGCTTGTAAGAGCACAGATTCTGGGACCAGACTATCAGTTGCATTTTAGTCTTGCCTCCATCACTTAGCCATTGAGTTACTGAGTGATTATTTAAATTTTCTGAGGCTCAGTTTTCTCTAATGATGTATATTATAGTAGTACTTACATTCAAATGTTATTAAGATGATAAAATAAGTTATTATATGTCAAGTGCACAGGACAGTTCTTGGCACATAGTAACTGCTTTTTTCATCTTATCTGAGAAGGACAGAGAAGACCCAACATATTACATGCTGTCTCATTCCTACTGCCCTTCTTTTCATCTCTAACAGCATCTTATTTTGCAAATAATCTCCACCATGCACTCATGTAAAGCTTGGTCTTAAATTGAAGGCCAATTTCATGATTTGCATTCACAGGATATGATCAAATGAGTCACTTTTATAATATTAACAGCCATACTTGCTCAATAGGCACTTGATTAATGACGTAAAACACACAAAAAAGATCATTTCTTCTTCTTGCTTGTGAGTTAATAATAATAATTTGTTAGAAATGTGGAGGTTGCTGTACACTCTGATGATTGCACTAGCATTTTGGCATACTGTCACTTGTCAGGCTTTTATTCAAGCATGGGCCCCAAAGCACATTTATTACCCAAGTGCACACACATTTATTAAAGAAACAAATGAATTAACAAAAATAATTGGAATCCACCTCTCCATATTGTATTGCAACCTGGCTTGAACTGAACAAATCATAGACATATTCTTGTGTCAAAGTAGACTAAGTAATTTTAATGGCTATGTACTGTTCTCTTATTTGAATAGTATATAATCCAATTTCAGTAATATTTTATTGACAAGGAAGTAAAGGTTCTGTAGTTTCTCAATGTTATAAATAGCAATTAATATTTAAAGTGTTGATAATTATGTGAACTAGAAAGTATTTTTAAATGTAGCAGGTGTAAGCAAAATCCTCTTACCTGAGTTTTTAAGTTTCCTTTGATATTTTCTTTTATACCTCTACTGCTGATGTAGTTATAGTGTTTAGCAGCAGGGACAAATGTGAGCCTGTTAGCAGTTTATATTCTATGGTGGGCATCTCTGGTTGTTCTGCCTAATAGCCTGGAGCATTATGGAGCCATACTTCATTGGAAGGTAAAAACTTTTTGTCAGTTCTGTACCTGTTTTGAGGGAGCATAGGTGCTGTCGAATTTTATATAGATAAAACATTAGCTGTCAGTCATTTTAACTACTTAAGAAAACGTGAAAATTAAGGGAGGAATTAGAACAAAGACCACTGATGAATAATAATGTGGATGTCTGAATATCTGATGAATCAAATCTCATACGGGCCATTTGAAAAATATAGTTAGAGCTTCTCAGTTTGTGAGTGCGTGTGGCCTAATGCTTTTGAAAAGGCCAGCTAATTTTCTTTTGAAAAGGAAATTAAATGACCAGCATGAGAGCAACTTTAGACTTAAGATATCTGCAGAAGAAATTAAGGAAAGCCACAGATCTTTCTATCTTAATTGGCATGTGATAGTCTAGCCCACATGATCATAGGATGTTTTTTCTTTACCCTTGTTTTCAGATGTAAAAGTATGCACTTGTTTTGCATTGAAAGATGAGCTGCTGCCCCTTGCAGCTCTCACAGTATCTTATTTTGCAGATAATCTGCTTTGTTAATGAAAATCAGGAGCAGCTTGGAGTATTGCGTGCATAATTAATTATCTTGACAAGAAGATTTATGAATGTAATTTTTCTCAATTGCTTCAATCAGACATAAGTGAGACAAGCAAATATATAAAACTAAGTTATTCATGCCTTCTTTGTATGAGATAGTGTCAGGACATCTAGAAGAATTAAGACATGACAGCAGAAAACCTTTTTGTCACACAGATCATATAACAATATAAGATATGCATTTTTAGTGGTGGGGGAATTATAATAATTCACATTTGGAAAATTTTGTAGTTTGTAATTCAAGTGCAACATACATCCTATTTGTGCAGTACATTCTCTGTCAATATGCAATTAAGATGATATCTCACATAGACATAATTAAAATGATGACCGATATAAGCACAATCGCAGGACACTAGTCTTGTACCTGTAAAATTGTGTATGCAAGTGAATATATTCTTTGGGACATGCTGACACTTTCTAACTAGAATTTAGAACTTGAATTTTTGACCACCTTAAATAAATGAGAAACCTATGAAATGTTGAAGTTCGTTTTTTTTTTTTTTAAATCTTGTTTTGAATGTGATTCGCAAATATTGTCTGGTTTAAAACCAAAATAACGGTAGTGTTATCTGGGTGATACTGCAGATCCAATAGTTTGGTCCATCAATAGT